TAAACCATGTAAAAGTAACTCTGAATGTATCGTGAACACGGCTAGTGGTGAGTTTGAATGCCGTTGCCGAAAGGGTTTCACTGGACCAGATTGCTCTGAAGATATAAACGAGTGTGCACTGGTTAGTGAGAGTAAACTCGTGAATTTGCTTTGAATTTCAGGTTTCGAGAACATTTTTTTTCAAATTCAGGTCAACTGAAAGAGGGACATAGTACCGCGTAAGTTGAAATGTGGGTTCCGGAAATTTCAGGATGAAAGCATATGTTTTAATGGTGGCACGTGTGTGAATACGAACGGGTCATGGTACTGCAGATGCCCGTCTGAGTACAGAGGGCGTAATTGTATGGAGCATATCGACCTGTGCGAGGTCAGTCCGTGCTGGAACGGTGGGACGTGCTTGGACTATGGACGTCGTATTGCGTGCTTGTGTGAGCCGGGTAAGTATCCAGAGGGATGGGTGGGTATTTTTGAGAATTTTAATCGAGTTAGTTTAGTTGGGAATAGGTGAGCCACTTTAGCTCAGTCGGTAGAGCATCAGACTTTTAATCTGANAGCCCGTGTTACGTTGAAATCCATTTTGAAGCGTCCAATCCGGTTACAGGCTTCTACGGTGACCTTTGTGAGAAGGGTTGCGTGGGCGGCCCTCCGGAAAGCGCCTGTCTTGATCAGGAACGGATTGCTGCGGAACAAGACTACGGACCAAATGACAACGAATCGGGAACCGAGGCCGAGATTGGCAGAAGACTGCCGGCAGAAACAGCAGCAGAACGGCCTTGCCCGCTGCCAAATTGTGTGCGGAAAGCCGGCGATGGAGTCTGCGATCCGGAATGCGACCGTGCCTTGCCCGCTGCCAAATTGTGTGCGGAAAGCCGGCGATGGAGTCTGCGATCCGGAATGCGACCGTGTGGAGTGCGGTTGGGATGGGGCGGATTGTGATGGCTCAACAGTGCACCCGTTTAGCCGCTGTCCGGCGGAGGCGTTTTGTGCAAACGCGTTCCGGAACTTAAAATGTGATCCGGTAAGTGAGGAATGAGACTATTTTTTACGGGAGCGCAGTCGGATAGTGAAGAATTTGGGCAATTGATTTGGGCAAATTCCCGTGAGTCACTTTAGCTCAGCGGGTAGAGCGGCGGACTTTTGAGCTGAGGCTGAGGAGTTCGAGTCCCCTAAGTGGCTTGTGGAGTTTTTTTTTTGGGTGTGTTGAGCGGAAGAAGCTTATTTTCCACTCTCTAGCTTCATTTCGACTCATATTGAACTTGAAAGGTGAAATTGCCGTGAGCCACTTTAGCTCAGTCGGTAGAGCATCAGACTTTTAATCTGAGGGTCAGGGGTTCGAGTCCCCTAAGTGGCTTTTTGACTAATTCCAATTTTTTTGAAGGCTTGTGCCACGGAAGAGTGCTTATTTGATGGTTTCGATTGTTTACCCGATGGCGAACGATGTGAACTGGAGGCATTCTGCAGGGAGCGCCATGCGAACGGGCAATGCGATCCCACCTGTAATACGGCTGCATGTCTATACGACGGCGGAGACTGTATTAATCAGAGCGATCCCAAACCTGCAACGGTACGTGAAATTTCCATTTTCCCAAAATTTTTTTAAAGAAACCACTATTCCAATGAGAATCTTTCGAAAATTTTGAAAAATATTCAGCAGATTTGACAAAAATATTGATCTGATTGATCAAAATTTCAATCGCTTGCAGCTACCAGGTCATTTGCTGCTCTTGGTCGAGATGGAGCCACGTAGAGTGCTTGCCAGACTCTCCGGATTGCTTTTCGCAGTCAGCCGTCTACTACGGGCGCCGGTAGATGTGGCACGTGAGGCTACGGATGGTGGCAAACCAATGCTCTATGAGTGGAGTCTTCACAGGCCATTGGCGCCTCAATTGGACCACACCGGTGGCTGGAGCTCAGGACGGCAGCTAGACCAATCCACGAGCCAGGTCTCAGGGTCTCAAATGGACCAGTCAAGTGGCCCAACCGGAATTAGGCCGCCGAATTCCACTTTGGGCACTCTAATTGTGCTCACTATTGAGGCGTCTTCGACATCCTGCTCATTAGATCGTCAGTGCTTCACGAGTATCGTGGATGTGGCCGAATTTTTGAGTACTTGGCAATCCAGTCAGGCAAGATTTAAAGTGTTTTGTTCGAAATTTGACGTGTTATTTGCTGATTGCGGGGGCGGGAGATCTTCAGGCACAGTTTTGGACTTCAACTGCTGCCCACCTACGCAATTTCACACTGATCTAAACAATATTTAACCGTGGAGTACTTGAATTAGGCGAAAAAACTCCAAAAAGTTCCAAAAAATTCCCGAAATTTCAGGCGCTTCATCGGATGGGTATCCCGGTGTATTCGGCACGAGCTGGTGCCCGGGCGGGAAGGCCGAGCAGTGGAACGGCGCCCACTAGGGTACTGATTCTGTTGAGTTTAGCGGTATTTGGGACTGCTCTATCATGTGTCCTGGCCATACAGGTGGTTCGGAAACGTAAAATTGTCCACGTGGCAAGGACGTGGTTCCCACCAGCTGCTACACATCATGATACTTGTGGGTTCTTTTAAAATTTCATTATTTGGCTGGATTTTGCTTAATATTTGTAAAAAACTAATGAAACGGTAGAGCAATTTGATCACTATAATGATCAGAAATTTGATCACTAGAGTGATCAGCAATTTGATCACTAGAATGATCAGCAATTTGATCACTAGAACGAGCCATCTAACTGCTAGAGCAGTACGATAGTCAAATGTGAAAGATCAATAGATCAGAAAGATACAAATTAATTGATCCACAGAGTTGGACGCTCTGAGATTGGGAATGGAAATGAAAATCAGGTTTACGGCAGACCTGAAATGAAAAAAATAAGGTTAAGGTAGACCTAAAATGAAAAAAATTAGGGTGTAAGGCAGACCTGAAATGCAAAAAATAAGGTTAAGGCAGACCTAAAATGAAAAATTCATAATTTCACAAATCAGATCTGAAAAAAATTACTGTTCCACAGACCTGAAATCAAAAAAAAATTGCAGATAAGAGAAAAGGCACATTTCAGGTTCCTCATCAATAATTGCCTTTGACGGCGCCCTAACCGGCCCAGAAAACGACCAACTGCTAAACGCTACGGGCGAGGCGCCATCGCAACTGGGCGCGAAACGAGCCCGTCGCCCAGTCTATTCACCAGTCGGCGCCATACCGGAGCCGTACCCCTCGGCGGCGACACCCAGGCCGCATGGGAGTGCCGCTGTGTCCCCGATGGCCCCAGCTTCACCTCCACCTGAACGTTCCACTGAAATCCACCCGAATAGCGCGTTTTGCCGACCTGAAATTGGCTATGACCCCACAAGATGGACCACTCCACTTCATTTGGAAGCTTCAAGCACTAAGGCAATCACGCTACCGGTACTTTTTGCAGATATTTTTGGATTATTTCTTAAATTTCCAAAAATTCGTCCTGAAATCCCACTGGGAAATGGTTCTCGGAACTTAAAAAATTAATTTTACATTGTAGAGACTTTTTAGGGCGTTACTTTGAAGTATAGGTCAGTTCATTTGCTTGCTACAAGCTGTTTAAAAAATTTTAAATTGTACCGGCTTGATCGAACTTATGGATTTTGATCACTTTAAGATCAATTGATCTCAATTGATCAATAATTTTGCCGCCCTTCAAATTTTGTTCTGATCTCTTTGCAGATCAATCGGGCTTATGTGAATGTTCGGGACGAGATTGGACGAACAGCCCTGATGCGAACGGCTGTGAACTTGAGGAAATGCGAAAGAGTGAGCCTGGAAGACGTGAAGAATCTGCTGGACGCTGGCGCCCTATTGGACGAATTGGACGACCACGACTCAAGCGCCTTGATTCTGGCCGTTAAAGCGGGTCGTTGCGCGGTCGTCAGGGGCCTGCTGGAGCTTGGCGCCGACGCGGGAGTCGAGGACGCGAACTGCCGCACTGCCCTACATCATGCCGCGGCCCTATGCGCCCTTCCGATCGTAAAACTTCTACTGGCACAACCGAATACAAATGTAGAGTGGTTTTTTGGTGTTTTGGGTTGAAGACCTGAACTTGCTTTCGAGTTGACCTGGAATTAATTTCAGGTGAACGCGTTGGACGACGCCAATTGCACACCGTTGATGATATGCGCCAAGCAGGAGATGTGCGGAGTCGAAATGGCGCAGCTACTGGTGCAGGCCGGGGCGGATGTGAACGCGGACGGGCGCAGAGTGGCGCCTGATTATAGCGGTCGGACGGCGCTCCACTACGCGGCCCAACTGTGCAATCTCGATATGATAAAATTTTTGATACGATCGGGAGCAAATAAAGACGCGCAAGACTCGAAGGTGAGTGAGATGGCAAAATTTTTAGATGTGATAACTGAAATTTAGACTTATAGGTTGTTTTTAGACCTATATAGGTTTATTGAGGTGGTAGTTAGAAGTTAGAATTGGCAAAAAAAAGAG